CCCAGGACACACGCGCGAGCGCGCGCCCTCACACACACACACACACACACATTGTGAATTTCAGTAGTACCGTTTTTGTCTGTAAATAAGTTTTTAACGGATCTCTTATTTTTTATTAAAATTTAAATTATATTAATTCCTTAATAATAATAATAATAATAAGAAGAAGAAGAAGAAGAAGAAGAGAAGAAGATGAAGAAGAAGAAGAAGAAGTCGACAAAAATACTGAAGTTTATAGATGTATGCATGAAAAACACACCCCAGATCACATCTCTATCTCCAAACTATAAATGAGTAAAACATTTCTTCGGTGAGTTATTCTAAATATCGCTTCAGAATGAAACGGTCATCTAAAGTTAAGGAATCATATTTAAAAAAAAAAAATTATAATTTTAAGCCCTACTTCTGTATCGATGACTGTTTTTCAAAAATAAAAACAAAAATACTAAAGACAATCTAACTGCTCTATCCTATTACATCAATATATATATATATATATATATATATATATATATATATATATATATATATATATAAAAAAAAAAAAAAGAAGAAGACTCAACGGAAAGCACTGGGCGGACGTGTTATCCTATATTCGCGACTCACCGGAAATGCGGAGCCACTAACGAGAATTGAAACCCGGACAGTTAGATTGACAGGCAAAAAGGTATACAAACTGTACTAACAGGCTTCGATGACGAAGAGGTAGCGAAGTAGACTTGATATTGCGCTGCTCGTTCACATATTCCGTGGTGGAACTCATGCAAGTTTCCTTTACCCATAGAATTGTGCCTCCGAGAGCCGCGACTATTATCACCAAACCGCTCCAGCCAGAGCATTACAAGCTGGTTCAAGCAAGGATATACAAATAGAAATTAAGGAGGATTTGAGATAATTAAGTAATTCATGGAGTCTAGAAGAAACCTCAACAGAATGCAGAATATATATATATATATATATATATATATATATATATATATATATATATATATATATATATATATATATACACATACAAGGGGGAACATTAGTATATGAAAATTTAGTGTCTGTAGAAACTGATTTGGAAATTTTTGCATAAACCAAATAATTGTCGGATTTTCAGGAATTATTCACAAATAAACGCAATTATTTGTTTCATTTTTTTCTTCGAAAAAATATGTTTTTACATTTGTTAAAGCCACCCACTTTAATTTTATGAAATTTCGATAAACTAAAATTTCACCACATTCATATATATACACACTTCACACACACACAAACATATATATATATATATATATATATATATATATATATATATATATATGTGTGTGTGTGTGTGTGCGTTCATATGTATTCTGGGTATTACGATGAACTACGTCCGGCAGTACGTTACCCTGTCCCTTCAGAACGTAGGTAATCATTGCTTTATACACCTTTTCTTTTCTTTATTACCTGTAAATTAGTATTAATTTTTGGCAAAGATAGAAGTGTGGTTTCCCGTTGCGTTTACCGCACTTTTGAAGTCAGAGTTTTATTTCCCATGCAGCGGTTCACACCGAGGTATTGAGAGTCCAGCCTCCACTTCCATTTAACTCATAGATGATAGGAGAAAACATAGATTCATATATTTCTAAAAACATTTGTGTGAAAGGCGGGAAATTGAACTCGGCACGCCGGATTCACATACCCGCTATTCTTTCCGTATAATGTTTCAGCTTTCCACTCATGAACGTCTTGTGGTTTCTTCTAGATATTAAATAACAACAAAATTCCTTAGTAGTCCAGAAATTTTGTCATGATTCAAGGTGATTTCTCAAAACGAAACATTCATCACCGGTAATTTAAAAAAAATGAATATGCAAAAAGGAAGTTGGTGTAAGGAATGCAATTTCTTTGTGATGATCTTTGAGTGTTTTTCAAATGATGTGTAGAATCGTTAACTTTTATTTTCCAAAGTTTCTTTTGTTCATTGACCAGATTCTGACATTGCACATGATTTTAATTATCCTCCATTTTTTTTTTATTCTGTGTATTTCTTTGCTTAGAATTATTTATGATTTGACAGATCCCTTCTTTCACAAGAGCTAACCCCGGTCTTTTAGTTTGGTCTGTGGGATCTATTTTGCTTTTCGAAGTCCCGGAGAATCCCCTTTTTCGTTGTCACGAATAGTCTTTGAGTGGTCTCTATTTTGGATATTATATGAGTATTGATTTTTGTCACTCTTCGCACAGCGGTTATTTAATGTTCGACATTGTCCTTTTCATATTAGAATTAACATTTACTTAAATGACATGTCCATTCAGATCTTAGTTCCCTAAGGTTTTGAATTCAGAGTAGTACAATTCTTAGCGCACTCAATGCTACGGCTACCAGTCTACCCTGTTATATAACTCATAGCTGAAGAGAGAAGATATTGATCATTGGACCGTTACTTACCTAAATAGGAAAACGGAAAAGACGGTCCGGTAATAAACTATGAGTTTCATGCCCAGTGTAATCGTCAAGTGCTGATTGAAAACTGATAATTGCATTATACATGAAAATCAGTTATTCTACCATTTATAATTAATAGCGTAAAAGCCGCCTTATCGGGTGGCATTTAAGCTCCCGTAGCCTTCTCACAATAAATAAGTAGGAACAGATGCGATGGGCAACAATAAACTACAGAATAACTCAAAATTGATTGCTGCATTTAAGTATTGCATTAATATTACCTTTTACCTAAAAGTATTGCATTAATATTACCTTTTACCTAAAAGATTACCTTTTAAAAGTTAAACGATAATTCTTCTGCCCCACTTAATTTAAAAAAACATTTTGATGTGCATAGGTCCTTACTTTCCGTACTAACAATGACTTTTATTTCCTCGATGACTTTTACAAGACTCCGCAACTGATTTCGATTATCGATTTATTACCAAGTTATAAAAATTGTTATCGTACAAAAAATATGTTGCTAAAAATCGCGTAAAAAAATCACCGAAAACAGTCGCAGTAATGACAAATTGGGAATCCAAAATTTCAGGATTGGGGGTCTGGATCCGACCCGGAATTATTTTAATTTTCTCACAGTGTCATCCTGATTCCTATGATATGTTGACCAAAGGCCTATAGGAGTAAAGTTCAAAAGTGTGACACACTAACATTCACATATATTATATAGAAAAAGATGAGATATCTAAAAATTAGAGAGTTATCTCCCTTTAATTGAAAACGTGTGACACACTGACATTCAAATTTATTATAGAGATATAAATTATAACTTTGTTATTACCCATCAAGAACTATTTTATTAACACCAGCATTCAATGTACGACATTATATATATATATATATATATATATATATATATATATATATATATATATATATATATAAAATATATAGGTTAGTTAACAAAACAAGAACAAACAAAACAGTATCAGCGTTTCTTTAAATTAGAATTTATAATTCTTATTTCCAACCTTATATTCAATCTTAAATTTTAATCTGGGCCAAAAGTCGAATCCAAAATTAAACTACAATTCATTTATATAATTTAACAACAATAATAATCCACCCCAACGAATAAAATATCTCACGATAACCAGAAATACTAAATAACTGAAGTTAACCATAGAAAATCAGCACTCGATAGCTTCCGTTAACATGCAACGCCGAGTTGTGCATTCAATGTAAGGTATTATGTATATTTTTTAACATATACATACAAAGACAGACGCATAAACAGACACACACACACAAACACACACACACACACACACACACACACATATATATATATATATATATATATATATATATATATTTGAAAGCTGGAAGCACTCAATCCACGACTTGTCTATTGCGTTCACTGTCTCGTAAATGCTTTTGAGAGTGATCCATATCATATATATAGAGTCATGTCATATATATATATATATATATATATATATATATATATATTATATATGTATGTATATATGTGTGTATATGTGTGTGTATATATATGTATGTATGTGTATATATATATATATATACATATATATATATATATATATATATATATATATATATATATATATATATATATATATATATATATATATATATATATATATATATATATATATATATATACATATATATATATATATTGGTCGGTTTTGTTTCTGATATGTCAATCTCTACGGGTTATTTAATGCCGAAATCTCAATATTTTGAACAGAGTTTTGTAAAATGTAATGTTGGTAATTTTAACATAAATAGATGTCGTTGGTAATTTTTTTTTATATATATATTTGCTGGTATTTTTACAGTATACATATATTCTTATACTTTGATAATATTTGGGGATTTACTATTTGCCCATATCTGAGGCCATAACAGGTACTCTCCCACCGATGTGTGTGTGTGGGGGAGTGTGTGAGACACTCGGAATGTGTGGGCTTGTGAACCTGTCTATGTGCAAAATCTTTCATAATTATATATGAGAGCCGAAAAAGCTCACGAGATGTTAGACATGTTCAAATTCTTCATATAAACCAGAAATGTCGTTTCGAACCTTAGAAAAAAAAAAAATAACCGAAACTTCTTAAACATTTAGGACATTTAATGGTCTTTAAATGTACCTGAATAAAGGAAAAATAGCTATCTCACTACACCCAATATGTATGTATATATATATATATATATATATGTTAATGTCTTTGTACGCATAATGTGATTTCTCGTTATCGCAGTTGGAGAGAGCAGTGTAAGTGGGGGCAAATGATAACTTTTCATGTTTCATAAACACGAAGGTTAAATGTTGACGAGGGTTGAAATGCCAACCAAGACAAGGAAATGAAAAAAACACATACGAAAAAAAAAAGAAGAAAAGAAACTGATTGATAACTCGATATTTTACACACGCGTTCTTGCTTAGAGGCAAGCACCGAACTACTACAGCCTTCTAGTTTATCACGATTTTATCTCTTACCCCCCCCCATCAGACCCCAATATACATTTTTCCTTCCTTTCACGTTGAGAAGACATGAAACTTTCATTTTTTTATTATCTCTTTTTAACACTCATTTCTTCTGTAAGTGTTCGCGTACATTTATTTTTATAATTCGTGGGTCTAGTAACGTAAAAAGAATGGCAAGAATAATAGTTGTTGGCGGAAAATTGAATAGATATATTTGTACTTATGTCTGTCATAATGTAAACGTTCGGGAAATATTTGCATTTTTTTTTTTACTTCATATTTGTTGCTCAGATTAGAAAAATAATTATAATTAAACAAAAATAATAGAAGAAATTGAAATGTTGTTTCTATGTAAATGGTAAATATAAATGAAATTAAATAACATTAACGTTGTGTTTATATTTTCCATGTTAAGGTAAACAAAATGGTTGCCATTAATTTATTTTGTTCGTAATTTAATTGTGATTTAGTTCATATTCTTATGGTATAAGTTTAAGCTGACACCTTCTTTTCTGCCATGTATCTAAGCTATAATTATTATTTTATATTTCTTATTGCTTCTTCGTTCCTTAGCTAGTTAACACGTACTTTACGTTTTGCCCATATCCCGTAAACAATGGACTATTCCGTTTTCATTGCGCGGAAAGACGGAAAAGACATAGCAGGGACGCTATTTGATTTCAGTTAGAAAACGAAAGAAAGCAAGGAAGAAAAAAGAAAGAAATAAAGAAGAAAAGAAAAATAAGATAGGCAATAACATTTTCATGCATTTAACGTCTGCTCTTGGGAAATGGAAAAACTTGTCAATTTTGAATTTTTTCGTTTTCACTCTATTACTTCTTTAAATAATAACTTGTCTTCGTATTGTAAGTATTATGTGAATATTATATTAATTTTTAAGAAGAAAACGTTCCAAAGAATTATCACTGGCCGTCATTTATGGCAACACAATCCGGCAAGAAATATGCCTACGGTTAAAACATAATGTGGCCTCATGCATTTTTTCAAAGATTGACAACTTGGCAACAAAATGATGCAATAACAGCAATAAATATGAATAGTTGTTATTATCTAAAGTAAGAGGCTACAAATGAAAATATTAAAGACTGACAATGTTTTCCATTTCATTGAGGCAGACTTTAAACACATGAGAGGGTTATCATTACTTTCTTTCTTTCTTTCTTTCTTTCTTTTTGTCTTTCTTTCTTTTACCGAAACCAGAGGCCTCCCTGACATATCTTTTCCGGCTTGCCTAGTGATCAAAATGTAATAGTCCATTATTACGTGATACCTAAGGAACAAGATGAATTATAATACGATTTTTCATTTTTCTTTCAACATATTCATATCAATAAGCATTTATAAACGTATAAACATGGTAATGTTCAAATTTAAAAGTGTTATTCATAGTAGTCCATATAATCACCATATAATCACTTGTATGGCCGCCTACAAATTTGAGGCAATGAAATAATGTAGTGAACGTCAATATAAACAGTCAATAAAGCTAGCCTAAATAATCCTTTTTCTGCCTTTGTAAGATAAAAGATGGTGATTGATTCTGTTTCTACACACACAGCCATGCATACATCTACTCCAACACGCAGATAGTACGTGGGTTGATGGAAAAGTATCGGGACTGATGTTTTAAAACCCAAACTACAACATATATAAATTCGGCATTTAATAACCTTCTGAAGTGACACACTATTATCCAGCGTCGTTGCCATTGATGGAAGCATTCCTGGAATTTCTTTTATTTGGATAGCGAGCAGTTGTCTGGTCGCATTCTCTTGGATTGCTACATAACTGATCACTTTAAACAATTCAATTGTCCAGGTTCTTCAGTAAAAATTAAAAGTTACGTAGCGCTCATTAGTCATTCGTGACAGGAGAATCCATCCACAACATATATATATATATATATATATATATATATATATATATATATATATATATATATATATATATATATATATATATATATATATATAAAAGTGAACATAGAAGTCAACACTTAGAGGCGAAAGTCTGTTTCATGCTAGATGCAATCGTCAGGCCTGACGATTGCATCTAGCATAAACAGATATATTTACACACGCTCTATCTCTGATATGGAGCACTTTATCCCATAAATATAGCACATCTTAAGACTATATTTCTTCATATATATATATATATATATATATATATATATATATATATATATATATATATATATAGGCCGCGAAAGGAATAGGGATATATTGTCTGAGGCGTGAAACGTGCTATCCGCACTTTCACCATAACGTATATTTAGGTTTGTCACACAGCCTTCTGCTCATGGGTACCTATATGTAGTACTATTGTGGTCACGAAATTTAAGTTTCAACTTGATCGTGAAAGTTTTCTTGCGGCTGTTACAGTGCAAACATGCCCGCCCCGCTAGTAGTGGGCATCAAGTAAGAACAAAAAACAGCGATCCGAATCTGAAGAGAACATGCTACCTCATCGATGATAACTCAGCGATTCGCCATTACCATTTCTCGAGTTTTCTCGTCAGTGGTGCAGGTTGACTAGCGTCCTGATCCTTATTCATGTGTCACTCGTGTCCGGCCACTTTTAAACTTCACGACTCACTCATACAAACTTTTACGCGGGAGTGCGCTGTCGCCGTATTGTGTCTAAAAGCCCCTGTGTATTTCAACCTCTAACACACCTTCCGTCCAGAGAAATCGGGTCACTGCTCTATGTTTCCTTTTGGTGCACACTGCTATCGGAGCGGCCATGTTTACACTGTAAAAACAATTTTAGCGAAATAGTTCTCTTCTAATCTCTTCGCTGGGGAAGTCGCATAAATCCTGCATGAAAACGAATCGTTGTCTTTGTTTATTATTTTGTGAATACATTAAAGTCGTTCTCTATCCGCTTGCAGACTGATCTTTCTCAATAGAAAAATTTTTTCTTTTTTTCTTTTTTCTTTTTCTTATATCGTTACATACCTTTTTCTTTCATTCTTTTTTCTTTTTCTTATATCGCTACATACCTTTTTTTTTTTTTTTTTTCTTTTTCTTATATTGTTACATACCTTTTTATTTTTTATTTTTTTATTTTTTTCCTTTTCTTATATCGTTACATAACTTTTTCTTTTTTCTTTTTCTTATATCGTTACATACCTTTTTCTTTTTTTCTTTTTCTTATATCGTTAAATACCTTTTTCTTTTCTTTTTTTTTCTTTTTTTCTTTTTCTTATATCGTTAGATACCTTTTTCTTTTTTCTTCTTTTCTTTTTCTTATATCGTTACATACCATTTTTATTTTCTTTTTTTGTTTTCTTATATCGTTACATATCTTTTTCTTTTTTTTCTTTTTCTTATATCGTTACACAATTTTTTCTTTTTTCTTTTTTTTCTATTTTTCTTTTTCTTATATCGTTACATACCTTTTTCTTTTTTTTCTATTTTTCTTTTTCTTATATCGTTACATACCTTTTTCTTTTTTTTCTATTTTTCTTTTTCTTATATCGTTATATACCTTTTTCTTTTTTTTCTATTTTTCTTTTTCTTATATCGTTATATACCTTTTTCTTTTTTTTCTATTTTTCTTTTTCTTATATCATTATATACCTTTTTCTTTTTACTTTTTTCTTTTTCTTATATCGTTAAATACCCTTTTTTCTTTTTTTTTCTTTTTCTTAAATCGTTACATACCTTTTTCTTTTTTCTTTTTTTTCTTTTTTCTTTTTCTTATATCGTTACATACCTTTTTCTTTTTTCTTTTTTTTCTTTTTCTTATATCGTTACATACCTTTTTCTTTTTTTCTTTTTTTCTTTCTTTATATCGTTACATACCTTTTTCTTTTTTTCTTTTTCTTATATCGTTACATACCTTTTTCTTTTTTCTTTTTTTTTTCTTTTTCTTATATCGTTACATACATTTGTCTTTTTTTTCCTTTTTTCTTTTTCTTATATCGTTACATACCTTTTATTTTTTTTATTTTTTCTTTTTCTTATATCGTTACATACCTTTTTCTTTTTTCTTTTTTCTTTTTTTCTTTTTTCTTTTTCTGATATCGTTACATACCTTTTTCTTTTTTTTCTTTCTTTCTTTTTCTTAAATCGTTACATACCTTTTCTTTTTTTTCTTTTTGTTTTTTCTTTTTCTTTTTTTTCTTTTTTTTCTTATATTTTACCTTTTTTCTTAAAAAATATCGTTACAATTTAAAAAAAAGATACCATTTTTCTTTTTATTTTTTTTTTTCATTTTCATTCGATTTCGTTGGACACATACCTTTTCTTTTTTCAGGTTTTTTATATCGTTACATGTTGTTTTTTTTTTTTTTTTTTTTTCTCCGATTTTTCTTATATCGTTTACTTAACTTTTTTTTTAAGACAATTTTTTTGTTTAATGGGTTTTTTTTTTTTCTTTCAATGTTCTTTTGTTATATTTATAATTCCAAGTGCACCTTTTTCTTGTGTAAAAATGTTTTCAATTTCCACATACACAATTTAAAAAAAAAGGTCTTTTGTATTTTGATAGTTTTCAAAGCGTCTTGGTTAACTATGTTCCACTGGACAATTCTTATTATTATTATTATTATTATTATTATTATTAATATTATTATTATTTGTGTATGTTATATTTCCTGCTTTATATCCTGTAGAGACGGGTCCAAACTAAGCTCCTTAAGCCCTATAGGAGAACGGTCATTTAATTGATAGCACTTTTCTTAGTATATAGGATCTTTATAGTAGGGCGATCTTCTGGGTAACTTGAATGTTGATGTTACCTGGGACTCTGTTAGTAAAATTTTCCATTGCTTTTCTCACAAATCCCAGAGCTTCGATTACCATTGGTATAGTCTCAGTTTTCATTCCCCACATTCTGCTAATCTCGAGCTCCAGGTCCTGGTATTTGGAGAATTTCACGATAATTTTCATGGAGGTGTTTCTCTCAGATGGCACTGCTATATCAATAAGCACACACTTCCTGAATTCCTTGTCTTTTATGATAATATCAGGTCTGTTGGCTTTTATTCCCCTGTCAGCTGGAATTGGCATATCCCAGAGGATAGTTACATCGTTATTTTGGTTAACTGTAACTGGTTAGTGCTCATACAATCTCTCAGTGATTTCGATTTAGTTCTTCTTGCTTATCTTCCAGTGCACATATGTCGCTACCTTGTTATGTCTGTGGGTATATTCATTTGTTGATAGTTCCAGGCATCATCTGATAATATTCATCAAAGTTTCATTATATTTTCCGCAGATCCTGCATTTCGGGTTAGTTCCATCCTGGATTATGTGACAGTGATAGGATCTGGTTGCCAGGCTTTGGTCCTGAGCTGCAATAATTAAGCTTTCTGTCTCAGCTTTTCGACCTGGCGCTCCTCAGCCACTGATGGCTTTTCTGTTCGTTCAAATTTGCTTATTATTATTTTTTATTATTATTTAAAAAATTCTTTTTCACCTGCATTTGATTTATAATCATGTGCCGGGTCACAACCAATATCCAAGGGCAAGTGAAGGATGCGATTTTTTGTTGTTTTCACTTAATTAAACGAAACATAGCTATTAACAAAGATAAAAAAAAAAACCTTCAAAAAGCAAATGGAAATGGCCAAAGCTCTTCTCAAGATATGCGCTGTTTTGTTAGAACTATTTGGAGAGGATTTCCTGAGTGGATGGTTAAGAAAGATTCTATTTTATTGTTCTTGAGTTCCTTGTTCCTTTCCTTAAGGGACACAAAGCTCCAGCCACAGTGGGAACAGTTTTAGTTTTAAGTGCTACATTTTTTTTCATTTATATTTTCAGATCATTGTATGTGCTAAGTTTTTCAAAAACCTTCCCAGATATGTTTTTGTCTCTTTGTACAGTCATGTCAATCAATGTGCAAAGTTTTTTTTTTCGTTTCTATCATTAATAAAAACGTCTGGGCGATTTCCTTATATTGTTTCATTTGTGTTGATTATCAAATCTTCTCTGCTGTCTATGGGTAAAAAGGGCGCTGTAGAAGAGTTATCTATGTATATTGAAGACGTTTTGTTTAGATGGAGAGGGCTTTGCGGATGATATCTGAAGTTTCACACAAAGTAAACTTTTGTAGCTCTGAGATGCTGATGTGTAAAGGAATTTTACTCACATGATTTTCGGTACTCTTCTTTACTATACCCAATGCCCCTATCATAACAGGGATAATCGTGGTTTTAATAATACACATTATTATTATTATTATTGCTTTGATTTCTAGTGTAGAGACATTTCGTTCCGGGTCCCGCTTAGAGAACCAAGATTAGAAATGGCATCATGACATTTTCCACTGACTAAAAAATAAATATATTTGACTTAGATAAAGCCCTTGGTAAGGTGTGGGCTGTACTCTTGAGAACAATTTCTTGTATTTCTTTAAGGCATGAGCTTCCAGGAATACCTTCAATGAGTCTATTGGAATCTTTTCCAACAAATTCGAGGGCTCCAACTACAACAGGGATTGTTGATATTTCCATGTGCCACATTTTTGAGATTTTCGATTTCAATTTTTGTGATTTTCGATTTCAATTTTTGAGATTTTCGATTTCAATTTTTGAGATTTTCGATTTTATTATTATTATTATTATTATTATTATTATTATTATTATTATTATTATTATTTCACTTAAGTAACTATATTTTATGACTTACGTATGGATATCCATTTCAAATGAATTTGCATAACAAAGTCAATTCACTCTAACTTTATCAAATTAATTGTTTAATTCATAATCTGTAGCTGTTAATCGATATTAGTATCGGAAACAAAAATTAAAAAAATGATTATTTATTAGAAAAGTAAATTTCTACAGAAACAACGACTCACACTTAATGTAGAGTTTAACAACCTTAACATACGATGTATTAGTTTCATTATTAAGAGAAGAACTTGTACCATTTCATATTTTCTCTTTAGCATATAAAATTTCCATCTGTAGTCTCAAAGTATAATACTTTGAGATTGCTATTAAGTAAAACTATGAAGAAATAGAAGACGTGGATTGATTCAGCAAACTAAAATCCCAAAATGCAAAACTAGAAATAAGCGGGAAGAATGTTAAGAGAAAGAAGTATCGCTATTTGAGACCTTTACAACCAAGATAAGCCTTGCTGCACCCACAGGACTGAAGGAATCTCATGCATTTCATTGGTAAGAAGGATGTTCAATATAATTAAGTGTTATTTGTGGAACAGACACTCGGCGGAATGATTTCTCAAAGATGACCTCTTCAAGTCTCAGGTTCAATGTTATGTACCCTCTCTATTTCGTCCTGTGTATAACAATAAGCTACATCCGGCATCAAGACTGTCTAATCGGGATGTTTTGAGGAGTGTAGAACCACCTCATAATTGTTGTTGCTCCCACGCTCACGCTGACCCGGTGTGTTAACACCTGTTAAGGATCCAGCTAAGGGCAAATATTAAACCCCCAAACTGGGCTCAAAACATGAAAATATAAAAATATATATCTTTTTTAGTAATAATAGCAGAGATATATTTTTGTAGAAAAAGCAAATTACCAAAGCTTACAAGAAAATTAACTTTGGATATTAAATGACCCATAATGAGTTGATATGCTGTTAAACGAAACGGACAACTAAATCTCTATCTTCCCATACACTTCAATTCCTACTTCATCATCTTAGGTTCATATCACTCACCTCATTCAGTAATCTTTTATATTCAGTATCTCTTTGGCCTTACATTTCGTGAACATTATTATAAACGAAGAAGTAGGCCTTAATGAATGATCGCTTGGAAAATCTATTTCAATTGAGCACTGTTGAGAGAGAAGCTGATTCTATAAACAACAGCCACCTGCACCAATGCAAAGATCTTCAGTAAAAAAATTAGAGCCCTCTGACTGATTGGCGTTTGTTTACATTCCTAAAAACAATACGCTAGAATTAGCGGTTTCTCTGTTTGATGATGACAGCTCAGCGGTAGAAACTCTAACACCAAATTGATCGGGTTTCTGTCCTGGCTTGAAGCATTCGGAGGTCTAGTTGCACACACACACACACACACACACACACACATATATATATATATATGTGTGTGTGTGTGTGTGTGTGAAAAAATTCTCAGAGTTAACCTGTAGAAAAAGACAATATGTATAAAGGACGGAATTATTAATCGACGCGTTTCGTCCAAAGTGGACATTTTCAAGGCAAAAACGAAATGAATTTATTGAAAACAAAGTAACTATTACCAACAAACAAAATGTCCTTAGCAACAAGAAGAATTTAGAAAACGCTATGTTATTCATAATGTCAACTGAAAATTACGGCAAATCTTTTCACGTGTAGATATTGTTTTTAATGTGTGTCGACGGATTCAACCATTTTCTTTGATTTCTTGCTACAGTTGTATACGTTGGCTTTATCACCTTTCTTAACAGAATTAATACTCTCCAAAGCCAACGTACAATAATACTGTTTTCCCATTGTCTTTTACCTTTGCACACACACACACACACACACACACACACACACACACACACACACACACACATATATATATATATATATAAAAGTGAACACTGAAGTCAATATTTATGCTAAAAACAATCCTCAGGCCACCTGATGATTGCGTTTAGCATGAAACACTCGCCTCTGAGTTGACTTTTATATTTACATACGCTCTATCTCTGATAGCATGCCTTAAAACTATATTTCTTCATATATATATATATATATATATATATATATATATATATATATATATATATGGCTGAGTTCCAATTCCAGTCGAATTCGTTATATCCTTGATAGGAATCTCACTTTTCCTCTGTCTATCTATTAATTAGTACGAATTATGTCAGTAAATTATTTTTATCTCAAACAAATAATTAAAATATAAAATTATTCTCTGGCTTTAAATAATCTGCAAAGGGTTGATAACCTGTAAAATACAAATCAGTCAATTACTGTATAATATTATACGTGTCTGTATGTAATATAATGACGTCATGAGGCATAATATAATGTGTTTCTATGTAATATACATCACTTTGCAATATAATGACATTTAACTTAATATATACCACTATGTAACATAATATACTGTTACAGTAGGTAATGTGTCA